CTTATAAACATAATGAGTTCTCGGCCAAAAGAAGGCTCAGCTGATGCGGCCTCCAGCTTGACCCTGAAGGCCGTGCTGGTTTTCTCTCCCCTTAACTTCTATTGCATGATTCAATCTATTCAATAAATCAAATTATTATATTTTTTACTATGGCATATGAAATACTATTATACATTTTTAATAAGTAAAGTAATGTAAAGTAAAAACAATTCCATTTCATATCTTTTAGCAGTTAAATATTTTTAAGAAATCTTTAATTTTGGCATTTTGCTGTAAATCATTTTATGATTAAGTTTTTAATCAAAAGATGGTTAAAGTCTAACTGAAATTTTTCTGTTGGTCGCTGGCTTTATGGACTAGAAATAATGGCATCTATTGAAACAGTGGTTCAGAATGCAGACAACGAGCTGGGCGAGGATTCCAAGCCCGACAGCACCGCTGAAGTCAAAGATGAACCCGGTATGTCCGCTATTAACTAGTTTTAACACAATTCTTGATATTATTTTATTCTATGGATTATTATTTTGTTTTAGGATTAGCATCGAATACAAACTTCAAAGAAGGTATGCTCTGGAACGTGGCGAGCGACGGCCCTCCGCCTGAAGGGTTCACAGTATACTCTATAGAATCGGGTCTCACTGTATTGAGACGGAAAAGACAGAGAAACCTAAACAAATTGGGCATTGGAGGTTTCGTGGTGCGACAGAGACAGGCGACCATCAAAGCGCAAGCCGATGAAGATGACGGCACACAGGCGTCAGGAGGTAAGGAAATTATATAAATACATAATTACAAATATATTTTTTTAACTAGATTAAACAAAGGACGCTGCGCGGAATTAAAAAAGAAATGGGTGGCTTATATTTCCTTCCAGACACACATAGACATACACTAAATGTAAGAGTGTATTACAAATATTATCTTCGAGATTTTGGATATACTTTCTACCAAACATCTATTCATTGAGATTAGTAATATATGCAATATAGTTAAATTGAACTTGTTATTTTTGTACAGAATCGCCCAGCAACAAACGTAAACCTCGCCGCAAGCCACGCTCTAAGCTGATGGAACAGTTCCCCTCTTACATGCAAGAAGCATTCTTCGGCAAGGATCTACTCGAGCCCGTTAAGCCCGCCGTCAGCTCTACTGGTAATCATTTTTGTTAATTCGTTTTTATTATTTTATCTATCTATTCCGTATTCTATTTATTTTTTCCTTCAAATAGAATGTAATTCTTTATGTTTTTTACTTTTAAATCAATATTAAATGTACTTTGAAGCACCCCTTCACTAAAATGTTTTTCCTTTTATCATAACTTGACGAGATTAGAAGAAAATGGTAAATATTCTAATGCTTTAATTACCCATTTATATCCATCCATACATGAAATGGTAACACGTGTTCTGTTAGGCAATCCATCCGAGAGTCCGGGCGGGTCTGTGCGCGGCGGCACGCCGGAGGGCTACCGCGAGCTGCGCGACTTCAAGCTGGATATAGACAACTCTGATAGCGAGGGCGAGGATGTCCTCGCAGCACTCACTGCCTACACCGATTACGATACATCCTTTGTTATTGCACTTAATACGGTAAGATAAATGTTTACTTACAATTTTTTAAGAAAATTAATTGTAGCACCCATTTAAAAATTCTACCTCTTAAAATGTAGGGAACATGTTCTTAAACCATTTTAACAAATTACTTATTCTTTCATCTATACTAATTTAAAGATAGTTTGCATTTTTGTATGTATTGAAATAACTCAAAGACTAGCCGATATCAAAAATTCTTTCAATGTTAAAAATCTATGTTATCAGTCAGTGCTGGCGAAGTCGCGAGCAACAGCTAGTGTTTAATAAAATTAAATAAAAATCGTGATTTTAATTATTATCTCATTTTAATTATTCGTTTTTCACCAGGAGGAACTCGACTTATTGAACTCTCTAAAACCCAAAGAGGAGAAAGAAGATGTATCAAGCAATATTAATTCAGATGGCACAGCGAAAATAAAACTGGAACACCCAGAAGATGGTCAATTAAAGCATACGGAGGATTCTACAGCACTCAAGAATGCAATCTTAGGCCCTCAGCCCAGCGAGGCTGAGCAGCCACCTCCTCCTGCAACGGAGAATATACCTACAGTACATAGTACTAAGACTGAAACTGTTAGTAGCGGTAAGTTCATTGAAAATTATAAAAAAATACTTTCCAAAAATATTATACACTAAATAATTTCGTGTTCCGTCTTCTCTAATGTGTTGTTTCTATAGAGAAGGATATCTGTCCCTATGTGCGTAAGTTTCACTAAAGTATGACAGTTTCCTAGTGTTCTCTGTTAATAAAAAATGTTACAACATCCTTATCATACTGTAGTTGATCGTTTATGTCATTTTCTATGTTCATGTATGTTTGATTTATTTTCTGAAAGAGTTAATCCCGCATACATTCGTAATAGACTCTCTGATATATTTGTTAGTATCTTACCTTACTTATTTTTAATGCGAAAGTTTAGACGGATCTATGTTTGTGAGAGTTTGTAGCCTTAACTATTGACTGGATCTCAATGAAAAGGACATTAATATATCTGTAACAAAGTAATTAACAGAAAAAAACAATACGTCTTTTGACAGCTGTCAGATAGACGGGACGTCCATGCCGTTCTAGTGTTGTCTGGTTTTTCTTCCTAACAGTAGTGTTTTGTGTGAGTTTAGAGACTGGTGGGTCGTCGCAAGGGTCGACGATATCGGCGAAGGAGGAGCTGTCGCTGCTGGGCGTCAACCTGGACGCTACGCTGCCAGACATGGACGGCAATGATGTCGACGAAATATTCAAAGGAGTGCTCACTGATGACTCACAGGTATACTTTATAACTACGATATACCGCGATAAAATATATGGCTCATTGTTTTTACTTTTATTTGTCAATATTTTTATGTCAGACTGGAGAAGAAATTTGATTCATGGAACTTTAAAAAAAAAACTTAACTATATGTAAATTTTCTAATACTAGTTTGTAAGTTCACACAAAAATAATGAATTTCATATCTGAAATAAATAATAATTATTGTATCTTGTTAAGATTTAAAATATTTAAAACTTTAGTAATATAACACCGTGTGTCTCGTTGCCATTTGTAATTTCAAAATAAGCGTTTGTTTCAGGAGTCGCAGGAATCATCAGCATCGTACGTGAACTCAATGGCGAGCACGCCGTACTCGCAGCAGCGGCAACAGCTGCAGAGCCCCATGGACTACGCCTCGCCATATCACAATGACTTTGGTAGCAGGTAACGACCACTGATTATTTTTTTTTGAATTCAAATTAAATGTAACTTTTGTTTTTGCATTTGTTCTATGTTATGTAACACAATTAGTATAATTGTAACAATGTAATTACTTAAACATGTCAGACTGGCGCGCTAATTCTACGTCTGAATGACATTGACAGATGCCAGATAGGGATGGGACTTTCTACATCTGAATGACATTGACATCTCAGATAGGGATGGGACTTAATATGCCAATAATCTAGTGTTGCGCCAATCCTCGAACGCAGTACTAATTTTCTTCTTAATAGTACAGGCACTTCAAATTGTATTTATCTGTATGGATTAATATTTTTAAACATAAATTTGTAATCAATAAGACATAGAAAGAGATGGATGGATTGCGTGAAAGGTAACATGATCAAAAAGAGAGCAATGACTGACATAAATATGATAGATTTATGTGGAGGACAAAAACCTGCTGCGCCGACCCTACTGGAGTAGGATAAGGAGGAAGATGATGATGATAAATATGTAGTTTAGAGCTACCTAATTAGGCTTTAGACATAAAAGTTGTATTAAGCAGTTATTGTTTTTAACAGTAGCAGCAGCGCGCTGAGCCCGCTGTTCTCGGAGTGCGGGTCGGGCGCGTGGAGCGAGCAGCCCGCCGCGCCGCCGCCCTCCTACAACCAGCGCAGCGCAGACAAGATGCGCGCCGACGAGAGTCAGTGCACTTACTGCAATACATTACACACTACACATAACTTACACTACGAACAAACACAAATTTAAATTTTTACTATGATGAAAAAAATAGTCGTGCAGACACTTATTTCGCGTTATCCACTTTGATCCAAATACATCGTCAAACCCAGAGGCGACAGTCTAATGTGCGATAACCTATTACTGACAAGCGTGTAAATAATTTTGTTCGTTAATCTCTTATAGTCTCTTGAATGAATATTGCAAAAATTGCAAAAATTCGACATGATACCGCCAGATTAAAAAATAAGTTTTGTAAAGTATTACTTTGTAATTAATTGTAATTTTTATCTATAGGTTTAGGTTCAGCGGCAACCATATCAGCGGTTCTATACGCGAACACTAACCATCCAGAATGGAAGGCGGAGTTCCCCAACTGGGTGGACAGATGCAAGCAAATCCTTAAAAAGTGGCGCGCGTTGCCCTCCGAGCAGAAAGCGCCCTACTTACAACGGGCAAGAGATAATCGTAGCGCAATACGTATGAAGAAAGCACAACAAGTAAGTCCGCTTTCCGTGTGTAAGATGTGTGTGCTAACCCAACTCACTTACCACTGTGTTTACAACGTGTGCCTTCACCTACGCTTTTTCACGCGAAATATTTGTTGGCAATACTAAATTTACACAACTATTTAAAAAAAATATCATGAAATGACACATAGATGGTTACCTCAGTGTTCTCCCTAGTCATTTACCCCCTTTGTGTAAAAAAATATTATCTCTCTGTTTATACAGTAAAAAAGTAAAGGATGCCGATATGTGCTAATAATAATTTTATTATAATTGAAAACCATAGTAATTGCATACAAATATTTTGATGAGTTTAAGCTATAGACATTTTAATGAATATTGCCTATGTTGAATTCATTTTCCATAATGTTATGGATTATTTAAGGTAATATGCATTGATATGAATAGAATAGTTGGTAATTGCTACACTATGAAGTGATGACAGTCTGTGGATTCTATTGCTTTGGTGGAAGTTCAAATGAACTTGTAAATATTGTTTAGCTATGTCTAGATAAAATCTTTATAGTGAGAAGTTTAATATAATATATAAAAATCATAGATTGTTAGAATTGTTGAATTTACTATGCTATAAACGGATTTTTTTGTGTGCAAAGCGATAGAATCTACTGTTATTTATCTTTGTATGTAATAGAACAATTGTCATATGACTTGTTTTGTATAATTTATTTCTATCATTTTCATTTAAAAGCGAACGTATTTTTGGATGTGTGTTAAATATTGAACATACAGTTTTATTGGAAAGTTTGAATTTACCTTTTTAATATGGGTCTTTTATATGCTTTAAATGAGGAATCACAATGTACTAACGTTAGATATATTTTTTTTGAGTTATATTCTTTTCCGAAGTTGTGGTCTCGTAAATATGTGATGTTTTGTTCTAATTTGAGTGCTGGATATTTAATCTATATAAATAAAAAATACGTTTCATACCTGAGTAACTGAGGTATATATTTTTGTTAGTCAATGGTTTTGTTATTATAATATGATGATTTATCAATAACGTACGATAAGTAATCGGACGCGGGTTTCGTCTCGTTTGTTGGAGTTTTATGCTTACGACACGAGCGCACCGCGCGTGGCGACATACTAAGAGTTACGTGC